ACACACACACACACACACACACACACACACACACACACACACACACAAACACACACACAACCTGTGGCGTTGTAAGAAGAACCAGAGGGTTCGGGTGTGGGGAGGTAAGAAGTGGTGAAACAAACCCTTAAATGAAAACATGTGTTACTGATAATATTCAGCACAAACTCTCTCTCTCTTGCTCTACCACACACACCACTTCAGAGCTGCTGTGTGTGTACATGTGTGTACATGTGTGTGTGTGCTTCTCACAGAGGAATTTCAATAATCATCTTGGAGTTCCTGGAATCTACAAATCCCTGCCAACCTCATCTCACTTTTATCCCCCCACCTCCCCCMAAAAAATGCCAAACTGTCCTTAGATCATTTATAATGTTTTTTTATAAATGTCTTTTGATTTGTTTTGTGTACTTGGGTACAACAAGCTTCAACTGAGCCTCCTTACACATTTGAACAATTTATTGTTTCTGAAAGTCTCAACTTCTGCATGTCTAGAAATGTTTTAAAAAGAAATTAAAATTAACAAGAGGATGGTGCATTAAAATATGGTAACCAAAATCATCCTGCATAGAAATAAAACAGTTTTCTCTAATTTCTGCAGCAGCAGCGTGCCTAAAATCACTTCAAATTAAACAAACTTCTATAAAGATGTTTTTTTTCTATACAAGGATAATGATGAAGAAATGAAACTAAAAATGCCGCGTTAACTCTCCGTTCTCTTTGTTTCCTTCTCCCTGCAGAATAAAGCCAAGGAGCTTCCCTTGTCAGCRGTGCGATTCATGGAGGAGCTGGGGGAGTGCACGCTGGGGAAGATCTACAAGGGTCACCTGTACCTGCCGGGCATGGACCAGGCTCAGCTGGTGGCCATTAAGACTCTGAAGGACATTTCCAGCGTCCAGCAGTGGGGCGACTTCCAGCAGGTGCAGATGTTTTTCACCTCGTTTCTGCTTCTCAWCGTTGCCATTTCTTATCGCTCGAGTATCGAGGCGTGCCTCGTTTGTTTCCCACTGAACGGGAGAATCGCTGAACTATAGATGAGCTCACTGGAAGTAGATCCAAAACTAAACGTCTGGCCGGGTGAAACGCTAGTCTTTAAAGGGATCCCCGATTAGTTGTAACATTAGACTTTATTTGATAAACATTTATTTTAACTGTAAAATAAAGACTGTAAAAATACTGTAGGATGTTTAGTTTTTTTTATAATTTCTAAATTAAAAGTTTAAAATATATTATACGGACGGGGCCATTTTATTAACATGCAAAGCATTCTGGGTAAATGATGACGTGGATAGG